TAGCAAAATTATACATCATGGTAGCTTAATATATTTCAAATCAGTCCTGAAAAATTCAAATTGAAATTATTTATACTTTTCAAAATATCATATTATATACAAAATGCAATCATGGTAGTCGACGCACTGACGTCATATGTTGGATATGCGCAGTTTTGAAAACTCTTCCCCATCGTTTCATTAAAATAATTGATATTCAAAAACACATTCACATATTTTACTTTCTTTAAGAATTATTGAGAACAATTGTACACTATCAGTAATATAGTCCTTCATTTAAATTCTTCTTTGAACCGTACCATAAGACAAATTAAAAAAGTTTCTCATACAGTGTATCACTCAGACCGCGTGATGCGAATCTCTTTTTTGACAACGTCAAGTCCGCTGAACGTTACACCCGATCTCGTATCTTTCGGTCTTTCTGTCCTCAGCTGATCAAGTAATTATCCATGATCCGCCCAAAATGTTTGAAACCATATATGAACAAGTCTTGTTTTCACATTATTTTTTTTTTGTAAGTCCGATTTACCATCGTAACTGTCTCAACATGCAATTTTCCGATTTTATAGGAAAAACGCATTGAAACTCAGTTTCGCGTTTTATTCCATTTCGACATTTCCTTACTTCAATTCATCAGATATAAACAGCAATGTTTATGATAAAAAAAAAAACCGCTGTCGCCATTTCATTTTTAATTAAAGACTACAAATTGTCATCAATTTTGTCTTTTTTAAAATATTGGGCGATTAGACGCTTTTTAAATGCTTTTTTTAAATGTGTTTTCTTTTTTATTCTGACAATATACACTTTAAAACGTGTCGTTTAGTTTTGACGCGGCGACACTCCTATGTTTAATGTTTTAAAGACGTACAACACACGGGGGGAGATAACTCTTGCAATTTCAATTGAACGTTTGTGGTGAAATCAAGTTTAACGTCAAAAATAAAGCGTCAAAACGACGAGTAAAACGATCCCGATGTATATCAATCATGAAAGAAAATTGGGATATGGCTTGGCTGTGATTGTGCTTACCATACTCAATCAATAAGTATTTTTTTAATTAACCCGATTAAACACCGTAAAAGCGAGACATAAAATACCATCCCTTAATGTTTATTTCTTTTCATTTCATATGTACAATAAATTGTATTTTTGAACAAAGCGCAGCATTTGTTTTTTTTATTCTGAAAATTTTATTTTACCTTGCCAAAATTCTCATTATGTACAATTGGCTTTATAACATTCCGATTAATGGTCTTCATTACAATTTGTGCATACACGATGTAAATATTGTTTTATATATAAAACAACAATAAATACACAAAAACTTTTTACAATGTAAAATCGATATTTTTCTTATACCCTTACTGATCAAAGAGGAACAACTCTGAAAATGTAGGAGATGTTTATTTTCCTCCCTTTATTCACTGTTCTCCACAGAATCAAATACATTTACAGCAAGACCTGATAAATCCGATAATTGAATACTATAGACCTCATATACACAATGTAAGTATAGAATTGAAAAGAATTGTTCACTTGTATTTAAATTATCTGCATTTATGAATATCCTATTGCCGCAAATCGCGGCAAAAAATATCAATGTGAGATTTGATGTAAATTGAAATAGATGAAGGGTATAATGTTTGATATTTTGAAGTTAATGTGGACAAATACGGAATTTCATTTCAACTTTAGAAGCGACGACATAGAAAGAATGCGTACAATATCATGAGGGGTGTACATGTAGGCCTAATGCAAATGTCGATGTATCCCCACGGCCACATGCTGTCTCGTTTGAAATAATGACATGGAAGAAACTAAAATTATTCTATTTATATCACAGGAGAGTTGAACATACACCATTTTTATAATGAATAAAATTAAAGAAATTAAATTAAAAATCAACATATTCAAGTTCAACAAATAGTATTGAATTCGTATCCAGATTTCATTTGATATGGAATGCATAACGCATACGTATATGGACTAAACACTAAAATCTTTCAGTAATTTTTTCCTGATACACTGTACATATAAAAAGAGTAGTCAATATTTATTCTGCATTAATGAATCTAAAAACTAATGCATACCTCCGGGATTCTTGACGAAATACCAGTATATTTGCACTTTAAACGACGTTTCGTCAAAAGCTAATGGTCTGCGACGCAAAAAGAGGAAGGGGTGGGGGTAATAGGGGCATTCAAAAATGCCTAAAAATCTACATTTAAATATGCTTTACATAAAAGAACTTTTAAATTTTTAAGTTAATACATATTTGAAGCAAAAGCAATATTCCAATTTAATTTTTTAAATGTGTATTGGTAGATTCATATAACAAAGTGATCGACCCCCGTCTGAAAGACGCGCGGGAACGTGATTTATTGAGAAAGGGGGAGGGGTAATATTCCGCTATGAAATCAAAACTGGTCGTACAAAAATTATACAAAAAATTATGAAGATTGTTTTTACGACCAGCTACCTAAAGAAATTTTTTTTACCAAAATTAAACGACAGGTTTTTTCACAAAAAAAAATTGAATTTGAAAAATACACAATTTTCAAGGCCTAGAAAATTCAGTTTTTCAGTTTAGAGTCTTTAAAAATTGTTTGATGGTATGTATATCAAAAAGATGACTATGTTTTTGTGTTAAATGGTCAAAGGAATAAGCCAATGAAATTTGACATTTATATCTAACCTGGTTTTATTGAAAATCAAGGTTTAAGTATTTCATTGATTAAAAATTTTCTCTCCTTGCAATAACTAAAGGGGGGTAACTTTGGGAAGTTCCTGCCCAAAAACCACTCGAACGATTTTGTCCAAAATATGCAGTAGATATAGTCATGTACTAAATATTAAAATTAAACGAAAATTAAACGACAGGAATTTTTTGGGGGTAGGTGTGTTGTACATCCTTAAACGTCTAAAAAATTAATTCAATTAAACATTATTAAATGATATTTTCAATTTTGATTAGACTTATTTTTCTCCATCTTTTGGTCATCATTATATTTGATGATGTGACGCAAAACATTAAATATATGGAGACAGTGACATTACTTTTGGATCAACCCTTGTATCTAGGATGTTTTGAAATAAGTACACATAGTAAATCTATATCTGACCACCCCATTTGATAAAGGCAAGTGTTTTCAAAAAGTTTTGATCGATTTTCAGAGTATAAAGGACAGTGCAGTACAAAATGCATTTCGTCTTCTACATTATTTCTAAACCAAAGTGTGCAAATTCGATCCGCAACAGATTCACTATGATTTCTACCGGTTTCTATTCGTGAAAGTAAGATGCCACATCTAAATTGTGCTAAAATTGAACGTAAATATTAAGGCATATCAAATACTAAATAATTTTCTCTACCAAACGTTGTTTTAAAATTAACATAGGTCCTCATCTTGGGAATGCTTAAAATCTCATTGCATCAATTTAAGGTTTGAGTAATAATTAATTGAACCATATTTATATATACCAGAAGCTTTGTCTTGAAATAGTAATCCAACTCTAGTTGGTGTAATATGTTGTTCAAATCACTGCACCAGTTATTTTTACACTTATTGTAACCAGCTTCAAAAAAATTCTTGTAATTCGACCATTGCCTATGGATAAAACTCTATCCCAATATCTTATTACATTTATCCAATGTCTATATTGACTTGGAATTCATCCAGTGTCTCCATAAACCCCCAAATGTAGGAGCAAAACGGTGAACCCCAATAGAATACCTAATAGCTCTGTTCTCCATATTATCTATGACACCTTACTTAGCGACTCTAGAGCAGACGCTCTAACCACTGCGCCTCGCGGGCGACGATCATTACTGAAAATTGAAAACAGGGTAGGGGATAAATTTTCTCACTTATTAACTACGATCAATTGATTGTAGGCCCTTGCATTAAATCCTTTTCAAGACCCTCACTTTACATTCCGATGTACTTTCATACTCATTTACGTATAATGGCAGTATAAATTAAATTGGAAATTACGGAATATATATAAATACAATCGTAAAGAAGACATTGAATCGTAGATATTATCCTTATAAAATATCTTTAAATAATATATCATTTACTAATAGAATGCATTTTTCTATGAGAAAATATTACTTTATTTGCCTCTCACTTCACAAAAATTGCGTCATGTGTTATGAAATGATGTAAAGTCGACGGGTACATAAGTGACTTGTTTATTTCATGCTGTTTTTAGTTTTGATATACTATGATAGTTTCCTACGGGCTAAATAGCAAATCGCGTCATATTGTGGAATTATAAGAATTGTAGATTTTGTAATCAGGAAATTCCTCTCTGTCTCTAAAAGTGGATTAAAACCTTTTTTTTAAATAAAAGAAGCGCTAAACGCATATGAAAATATACTTGGTTGGGTTAAAAAAAATCAATGACCAAATATTAAAATCCTTTTAACTCTTTAAACGTTAAATTCTGTTAAATTCTTAAGATAAGATGCTCAGATATGATTGAAATTAATGGAAAGCAATGTTGTTCATTTTTTTTATTTAGTAAAAAGTAAATATGAATGATTTTAATCCAAAAGATAAATGTGTGTTAAATATAAATATTAATAAAGATAAATTAACACTTTTGTTCTGTTAGAACAGTTCAACTTATATAGTTTGTTATTGACCAACGACAGGAAAATATCATGTTGATTTATTTTAAATTGCATATATATTACATTATGAAAAGTTAATTTACATCGTACAATCATTTAAATAATATTTGTCTTACTAGAATTCAGAGTGTATGCTTTTTTTTTTATATTATCACAGTAATGTGGGAAGTTCTACAAAATGTAATCTCGGATATAGTATACAAAATAATGTACTAATCTCAGAAATAATAAACGTAAGAATTCAGAATGGGTGATATGATTACTTAAAATATTTACACAAAATACAAATATTAGAGTCAGAAACATATATTTGATGGGGTAAATGACATTTTCTGTATATAATCAAAATTACGTAGATTTATAAAATAACAACAACAATGAAATACACGGAGTTGCATAATACCAAAGACAAAAATGATAAAATTAAACAGAAACGATCGATGGCCATCCCAATATCGCTCCATGTCAAAGCGTCACCCATTTTTTGATTTCTCCTGGATGTTGGGGAAAGCATAATTCTATGAAACAGTTTCCAAGAGCTAGGAATTTCGGTTTCTTTCTCGTTCTCATTTTCTTTCTCGTTCTTATTTTCTTTCTCTTCCTTATTGAAGTGCGATCCAATGATAACTCCAACAACGATGAAAGCCCCTATAACGAAATCTCCAAGAAGTTTATAGCTAAGAGAAGCCACGCTGGGCTCCGCGGCTTCTGGTAATTTTTCTTGTATGAGCGTTAGATAGACAGCAATAGCCAACATGACAGTGACAGCAAACCCAACACGTTCACCGGAGTCATGTGGCATCACAAAAACCAACACTTGTAAGATTTCGAGAACGCATATCGGAAGGATCAAACTCGATATATAGTACGCAGATCTTCTCTTCATACTGACGGTCAGGCGTAACTCGTGAAAATCTAAAATATTGGTTGATGTGTTCATATGCGTATCAGTCACTTGCCAAAGACCATTCTCTCTATATATTGACATGTCAGCGGTTTTCTTCAACGGATTAAAAAAAAGATCGTTTGGACTTGACCCCATTGCAAAAAATGTTAGCATGCACGTCTGAGAATCAAAGGGATATTTTGTCAAATCGAAGTCACACGTACTCTCGTAAAGGTTAGGAATAGTCCAATTTACATTTCCATTGTACCATACTAGTACAGTCAACTCCTCGTGTCCATGATATTTTGGTTCACTGTAAACGTGCATATTTATAAAATATGGAATCCATAGCATCTTCTGAGGGATAACAGTGTATGTTACCCCACCGTAGTCTTGTGGTTTCCAAATTAAACGTTCGTCAATCCAACTAGCGGCCAAAGCTCCAGTTATTGAGAATTTACCGAGGTTTTCATCCAGCTCCCGTATGTCTTGTAAGATGAAGTTGCAGTCAATTTTTAATGGGGTGTTTCTGTTTGGTTTAGGTCGAACGTTTCTGTCGTATCCAGAGCCATTGAATGCTTTATGGAGGCGCACTTCATCGTCCATGGTGTAAGCCCGGGATAAATGGATAAGAGAATAAAATAACAGCAAGATATGTAAAATATCTCTTGCTCTCCTGTGCTTGCCAGCCATTGTTAAAAGTTTTCAAATACTACTTCCCAAGAGATGATGTGGACAACTTATCTTTTTACAGACAAACACAAACATACATATATACACATTCTAATTTTATGTTTTCGGCGTAGCCAATGAAAAAACAGAAATTGTTTTGAATGGCTGAGCACATGATTTCCACGTTTGAATTAAAAAAAGTTAACAGGTTTATTTTCAAAACTTCCTTGTTACATAGAGTAGACATTTTACATTCAATATAAAAGTGGACTCCGTCATCCATTGCAGAGTCAATAAATTATTTATTTTATAAATTTTACCAATATACCCCAAAAATGGGTAAGAAGTGGTATTTTATATGTAAAACATTTGTTGACAACAAAAAGTAAATTTTTGAAATATGCTACGAAAGTAAGGAATCATTAAATCAAAGAAGAATTACTTACGTGAAGAAATAATAATGAAAAAAAAAGACATACATAGTTTAATGTAATGTTAAGAACACTATTATATAAAAACCTTATTTGTATTTTCAAGGAAAAGGAAAACAAAGACCCAGAATCTGAATATTCAAAGTTTTGTTAGAAATTCTACTTTTTATAGAAGCATAAGCCAATAATGAAAACGAAATTGTTAAAAGAATTCAAATGGTCAATGAAAAATATATATAGCTTATATACATCTAAATAAAATATGTCATTGATAAACAAATAGCAGAATTTAATTGAAAACTTTTACAAAACTAACTTAATTATAATAATAAGGTAAGTAAATGGAATAAAGAGGTGGGAAAATTTTTACAAGTTGCGGAAAAGAAGAATATATTAAACATTTAATTATAGAATGCCCGAACTCAAACAAATTATGTGGAAAATATCTGAAGTATCAAAATTGAATGTGTCCTGGAAAATATTGTTGTAGGATTTTAAAACGACACTTTTTTTTCAAAATATATTAATTGTTATTTTCAAGATATACATGTATAATTTAATTTTACTTAAAACACGCTATTTGATTGGATAGAAGATTTTATCTATTTTGTATAACATAACTTGCCTACGTCACAATGAGTTACGTCAAAAAACGTATTACTCCGCTTGACGTTACTTTAAAAATTAAATCAATGTGAAGCCTTATTCCGGGAGAAAATTGTCTCATTATCTGCACTGAAATTAAATTATAAAGAATAAAGCTTATTTCAACTTATATTTCACGATATAACAAAACTTGGGGCAGTTTACGCTCTTTTATAAACCGCTTCGCGGTTTATAAAGCGTAAACTGCCCCAAGTTATGTTGTATCGCATAACATAAGTTGAAATAAGCTTCATTCCTTAAATAAAATGAAATGTAGGTTGCTTAATGAAACGAATGCTAATGCAGTGTTATCTGTATTTTGAAATCATCATTATATCAGTAATTTTTAAGTGCAAAGGATGCAAAAAGTGTTAGTTTCGATAATGTAAACAATTTTTATTCGCTTGGTTGGTCAGTTCGAAATCAATTAATGATTCACGATTAATTTTCGCGACTGAGGAAACATTCTCTACAAATACAAAGCAAAATGGTTCGCAGTGATGATTATTCGTTGGAAGCGAAATTCGCGGGTAGTTATCACACGCGAATTAAAGTTGGTTTACAGTACCATCTTATAAAAATTTTAGCAGATCAAAAATAATTTCCTTTGTGTTTTGATTGTACGTACTTTAATAAGTACAGCTTCGCGCACTTTTAAGCTCATTTGGTTTTTGGCACAAATTAACATCACATAGTTATAAAACAAATTTCAGTAGCGAGACAACAAAATTGATTTTAAAAGTGATGTATAAATTATAAATTTAAAATTATCAATTTTATTTCACTAACTGAAAACATAAATCACAAATAATAATTGGTGCAATTCTTATATACTTATATATGATGACAGTTCCCAAATGGTTTTTCATGGTTTCTCGTCAAATGCAGCTGTATTTGTATCTTTTTCTATTTGTATCTGTATCTATTTGTATTTGTATCTATTTGTTCTTTTAAAAGCAGTTCTATGACTTGTCTAAATAAAGAAACATATCGTGTATACGTAACTTCTATATTTTCTGTTGACTTTAAAGCGCAAGATGATAATAGTATCTCTCATCTGTTCGACTGCTTTCTGTGTTAAAAGAAACTGGCATTATTTTTAGAGTTACTTTCAGAAGACTATAAAAGATACATGACACCGCAAAACTTTAGACTTCAGCCATAATTGTAAAATAACTTTCCATAACAATTTACTTTTTTGAAAAATAAACAATGCCTTATAATCTTATCATTTGGCATGATTTCTTCAATAAAGTATTGAGAATGCAATTATTCATAAAAAACGGAGACGGTATCAGAAAAGTTATGTTACTTCCACTTTTCATCTTCGGCTCATAGTATGATGAAAGGGGGGGTCATAGCAAAAAGGTCAGTCACTTTTTCTTTTAAGCAAAGATAAATTCTCAAATTCTAATTTTTTCAAGTTTTTTCCATGTTATAAAAGTGTAACCTTCCAAAACGAAGTTCTGGTTGTTTAAATTAAAAACAATATCGACTATCAGATACTTCGGAATTAACATCCACTAGAGGGCTTTTTTAATTACCTTAAATAAAACTAAATGGCCGTTTTCAATGAATGTTTTTGCAAATAATGTACCACACTGATAACAAAATATCAGTTAGGTGTAAAATTATTAAGATTATAGATAATTAGATAAAGTTAGAGAGGTCCAAAAAAGGGGTCAGAGCACTATGCTTAAGTGGAAACATTCTTTGAATTTCTTAAAGATAACTTAGCACTCATCGTTCACTCAATCTTTTCATAATTAAATATTCTGTCAAAATTCTTTGAACAGTAGTTTAAGTAAGACCAACTTAAAATTTCAAATATCGCTCTGACAACGTCAGACACCATTTAACGTTTCTGTCTGATCTCCCATATTTCTTGTCATCTGCTTAGCATTGAATGATCCACCACCCGCGCAAAATTGCTGAAACCATCTTAGCAAGTCTCTTATTTACATTCTTTCCTCTGTGACTCTGGTGAATCAACGTAACACTCTCTACTGACGATTTCTCTATTTTCAGCAAAAATACATTACGGTTTGTTTTAGCTTTGTTTGTCCATTTCGACATTTCCTTTTTACAATTCACCGGAGTAAAACAACGAGGTTTTGATCAAAAATAGCAATTATGTCATATAATTTTCAACATACAAGAAAATGATGCAAATTTTTGTCTTTTTAAATATTTGGCGATTAGTCGCTTTAAAAGATGCTTTTTAGTGGTTTTATTTTTTTATTCTAAAAAAGGTACACTTTAATTTGTGACGTTCGGTTGAGACGTGGTGACATCCCCTATGTTTTGTTTTAAACGTAAATAAAATAAATTCAGGTAAAACATTTTTGAATTATAAATGCAAGTTTAATTAGATTTAAAGTTGTGCATCTTTTGGTATATAATTTGTGAAAGTATGACGCCAAATATAAAAGATATGGACACTGTGATAATACTTTTGGATCAACCCGCGTATTCATTGCGAAAATTGGTCTCCACAATTTTTTGAGCTATAATGTGCAATTAGATAAAAACTGTCATATCCTTGTCACTCGATATCTTGAAACCAGGATGTGTCAGTTTTTAAGGTTCATTAACATATTTCTTTGAAAAGAAAATGTATTTTGAGAAGAAAAACGTCTCTAAATACACGAATACAATAAAAACACAGGACGTAATTGAAATTCATGTGTCTATGTTCGTGAATTAACGTACAAAGAACTCAATTAGTTTCATATTAATCTTTTTAGAAGACCAGTTTTGAATTAACTATGGGTGTCAATTCTAGCAGCATGTCATTGTTGCATATTATTTGACATTATATAATTGAACCCGGATTTTAAATTTATGGAAATATATTTCAATTTCCTAGGAAAATAAACCCTAACTTAATGTTCTTGTGCAGACTTAAAATTTGATATCACTGACATATTTTAAAACTTAAACATGCTCTTAATTATTATAAAGTGTCTTGGCTGTCTGTATTTAAATCTGCAGTTTACTTTTGATACATGACGAATTCACAATTTCTTCATTTACAGAATAATGCACGCATTTCATATTTGAAAATCCATGAAGAAAGTTTAAAATCACAATATTTTACAAGAATCCTGGCTCTTTCACATCATTGACAACTTTGTTTTTAGATAGAGATCGAAATCGTAAATTTAGAAAGATATCGAAATTGTAAATGTACCCTATTATTGGTCATTTGCAAAACAATCTGATTGTACACACAAGCACTCTAACTTTAATATTAAAAAGACAATTAAGTTTCTGCAAGACAATATCTATGTGGCCAAGTCCTCCAAAAATCTATTAAAATTCTATGGATACCAATAGCGCTCAGTGATTAGCAGACGTACTTGTGTATTCATATGAAGTGAATTTGGTTTAAAATTCTACATGCGAAAAAGAAAAATATATATTAACTACGTTTTGTCAATGAACAGTTGTTATTTCCATTCTTATATCGACATGATATATCCTGATGATCTTGAAATACAAGATACCACATAGTCTTACATTTTTTTCCCTTTTAAGATGTAATGTATTAATAGAAAAAGACCTCAGTAATAATAAAACAAGAAAGCTTCATTGTAAACGTGATGAATTAAACTTTTAAATCGTGAACTTTCATAAACAAATGAAGCAATGCAAATACTGTTCGGAAATTATTGAGATATTTACTTTAACTTTAGAAAGAGCAGTGATTCATTAAGGAAAATTCGTCAACATTTTAGAGAAAAAGAATAAAACTTCAAATTTCAAATTTAAAATTTATGGCATAGCTAGATAAGGTCTGGTGAAATTATTAACATGCATTTGTCTATCAACCTGGGGGTGCTCACTCTTCCATGGTACCTGATCTACCTCTGATGTTTCGGAGGTCCCTGTTTGCTCTGCTCCTATTTTGTATTGTTTTATGGACTTTGATATTGAATACTG